CAACACCCACTGGTCATTAGACGCTACTCTGACTCCATTGGCGCTATGGCTTGCTGTTTGTCTTTGTTATCTCCAGCTTGCACTAAATCAACTGCCTGGTCTCACTGGCATCATTTAAGCCAGTCCAGGCTGAATTCAGACCAACAGCCCAATATCCCCTTACAGTACATGTGTGGGTGTTTTCCACCATTTGGTCACTGATAGAAACGTACCCATTCGATGCTTTTCTTCCTGATACTAACTCAGATTTCTGTACTTGTTGTATTCACTAAAACTGAGTACTCTTACTTTTGAACATCTGTTTACTGATGCTATTGGATGTAACATCATTAAAATAACTGTTGTATGGCCAGGATTGGTAAACTAAAGGAATGCTAACCTGAAAACTGCGTGAGGACCCAAAAACATGATCAGGTTATTTTAGAAATAGGGTAGTGACAATTGAAATTAAAAGGTTTCTCGTCGAAGTGAAAACTGTTTTTGAGATATAATTACACAACGCAGCAGCCAGCGTGACTGAGTCTGGTGTTGAATCGGAAATTACCATAGAAGAATCCAACAACACTTTTAAATAATTTGTGTGGCAGCTCGTGATCACAGCTGGTCACAGCGTATCCGTGGTCTGTTCGGATCCCCACTGCCTCCATTCAGGCTACATGTGATCTGGGATAGAAAATGTAGCATCATCTTGAGAAAAAAAATGTACTGCCACTAAACCCCTGTGCAGTCTCAGTGAGAAGAAGACAGCATTTGATTGGTTTTTGTCTGTGACATAGAGATCCGCTGTACAAATAAGAAGACAATTCAGTCTTTTAAAACGTATTCGTATAAGTTTTTGCAGATTTCTACACATAGAGAGGTCATAAAGTTAGTTCATATTCATACTATGCTTCTCAGTTTAATCTCATCATGTCTGTATCATGCAGGAATCATCTAGCGGCTGCCATCAGAAACTTAACATTAGTAAAGTTAAGGCCCGGTGTAATCTGCAGCTGTAAACAAAGGTAAACAAAATCAGTTACAGAGCCCTATGTTCACTTTGAATATAGATAGAGTTCCTAACAAACGCTCACACTTTGTTTTGTCTGACTCACGCCCTGTGTGTTACAAAAAAACTGTCAAAGCTCATATGAAAAAAAAAATGTCTGTTGATTACGGCAAACTTTGGGGGCTAAACAAATTGGCATCTGTCATTGAAATGATGCAGCTTTTTAAATAACTTTTGTCTGTTTTTCAAAAAAAGACAGTGAATGTGTATCTCACTGCTTTATATCATTATTGGAATGGTAGTAATGAGTATATAGTGAATAAATTGAGGATGTGATACACTTTGAAAATGCATTGAGATGCATTTTGATTTGAAGTGCTGTTGCACAGTTTGAGTCATGACTAGCCAAGAGACGTGAACTATATGTAATCAGTGACATTCATTCCAAGATGATTACCAGTTCAAACATTTCACTTTCAGTTGAATAACAGACTGTTTTTCCAGTCAAATATTTTGTCATCCAAGTTTTCTTGGTGTCAAAATCTCTTCTCGCTTTGCTGAATGCACCATCGTGGCACTCTTCCTGTGAGCTGAGTGTACCATAACACCCCTAGTTAAACCTACTCAGCTGGCAGACCCTCCTGACTTCATGTGTTTTCAATTTAAAAGTAATCCTTTGAGTATGAGATGGGAAAACAAAGACTCCTCTGTTAGCTTTGGCTAACAAACGGTCTCTGCTAGCACATTACATGTCATAGTTTGCACTTGTTTAGTTACTTTATTCCTTGTTTTGTTGCTTAGTAGTCATTTTCTGTCCTACAGTATATTTGGTAATTTTCTATCCTAGTGTTGCTTGTTTCCCTAGTGTGTATTTTTATTGTCTCATTTCTTAGTTTCAGTTCAATGTCAGATTTTCCCCATGCCAGACTGCTTCTACCTGGGTTTCCTGTGTTTTCTTCCTGACTCCTTGTTTCCCCTTTTGGATTTGAATATAACAAACAATATAATATAATAAATAATCTTTCAGCAATTGGGTCAACCTCTTTGTTTTTTGAATGTATGTGACCAAACAAAGTGACCCAGAGAGGAAGAAACACTCCCACCAGAGGGGAAGAAAAACTAAATAGACAGGGTAATCAAACACAGGTGAGACCAACAAGACACAGGTGAGGACAATGAGGGCAATCAGGACTGGAGGGGAAACACAATAGACATGATTCACAGAGACAAGAACTTCAACATAAGACCTAAAGAACTAAAATATGAAATGAGACAATAAAACTACACACTAGGGAAACATGCAACCCTAGGATGGAAATGACCTAATTAGACAGAAAATGACAACAAAGCAACAAAACAAGGGATAAACTAACTGATCGAGTAAGCCATGGCTATCTTTCCATGGTAACATACCTAAAACATGCCTTGTAAAGTCGATGCAAGTAGAAGCATTATCACCTACCTACTTATCAATACTGCTGTGCTGGCTCCTGTGTTAGAGAAGTCTTTTTTTAGTGGCTAAAAACTTAAGATTTCATATCCCTACACTGGCTGACAAACTGAAATCCAGGATCTACCACTTTTTACTGACAGTATCAGAGAAATGTTCATTGTGGTATCATCGTTGGAACCATTCCAGTTCCTGATATGACCATTTTGTTTCTTCTTCTTTTCTTTTTTTTCCTACTTGACCCCCACGTAAGGTAAAGGGATACAGACTCCAGAGTGTCGCTAAGAGGTTTCTTCATACGCCATTTGTCATCTCCAGCTTCAGGCATGAAGTAAAATACCATGTGGGGAGTTGTCAGTGTGCCTTGTCAGTTGCTGTTTTGTCATTTTTGAACGCAATCCCATTCTGTGGTTTGATGGTGAATGCATGATAACTGTGAAATGCTGGCTCAGCTTTTAAAAACCCACACTGAGAAAGAGAGAGAGAGAGAGAGTAAACTTTATGTTCCCAGAGGGGGACGTTTGTCTTTGGCACAGCAGCACTATGGTCTGTTGCTTCACTTAAAAACATCTGGAAAAACATGAGTTGTTTGACTTGATGTGGGACAGTCGCTTCACAAAACAAACTAGAAAAGACGCTTAGCTTATGTGATTTTGACAACGATGTGAGACCGTCAAGGCCAAAGGATGATTTAGAGGCCTTGTGGACATTACCAACCTGTGAGTAGAATCAGGAAGAAAGACAGATTGCTTGACATTTGGTTTTTCCCAAGTGGAGGGGGAGAGGCATTAATTATTTTTTCAGCTCTTGAAAGTTTAAAGGCTGAGAACAAAAGCACATAAATTAAAAACCAGAAAAGGCAGATCAGCATCATCCGGTCACACTCGACTCTGCACAGAGGAATACGTCTTTGTGCAATTTGTGTCATTAATTTCATACACTATGCCATATTTTCAGTAAAGGCTCTCTTAAGTGATGCTGCTGTAACTACTGTTACCTGCTGTATCACTTACTTGATGCTTTGCCTTGGGGCAATCGGACAAACTTTAAAAATGTGCAATCAATAATCACAAAAAACTCTTCTCCAGATATAGAACCAGTCTTTTGAAAGAGATGTTATATATATCATAATACTCTCCATATATAAAAGACTATACAAGGACAGGGGTTGCTAATTAACCACAGCTAGACACCTATGTGTATGTCATCTCCTTTTTATTTTACATATGAAGCAATTTGAATTGCATGTGTCCCTGATAAATAAACACATTTAAAAAAAACTTTTTAAAATTCTAAACTTTGAGGATTCAACTAGTTCATACATCCAGCCCAACACTGTTGTTAAAAAGTGCTGTAGGTAAACTCAACACCTTCGATTTGTGTGTCAAATCAAGGATACTTTGTTGCATTTTAAGTCGCCTGTCCTTTGTTCCTTTATTGCATAAATTCAATTCAATGAGGTGAAAATATCTACTTTCCTGCTCTCCACTGTTCTGTATGTGAAGTTAACTGGCAGTTATTATGTATAAAATGTTGTCCAGATAACAATACATAGAGGCAAAGAGGTTTTTTTTCCCCCTGCACACGATTTACAAAGTGTTGTGAAGTTGCCATTTGCCTGAATATGCTTATGCATTTGCAAATGGTAACATAGTGTAGAAGTTTAAATGCAAAGTTACATTTCTGTAAAGGATTTCACATAAAGTAGTGACAGCAGCAACAAAAAAATCAAGCCATGTACAACCTATACCCCAAACAAGATTCTTCTGTAGTCACATCTGATAGATTTACTCTAACAATGGCAATTGTTTAACCATTAAGACAAAAACTCCACAAGTAAAATCTTAGAGTGCATTTTACCCAACAACATATGTTCCCAGCTTTCCATCTTTACACTCTCTCTTTTTACAGTCTGTGTCTTAGCTAACCCTTTCCAATGAGAGATCAAGAATGACCAGAATTCACTACTCAAAAAAGGACAGTAAAGGAATATTAAATCGTGACAGCAAGTCAGTTAAACTTCAGGGATATCCAGCTGTCCATTAAAGAAGAACAAGCAATTGTGAATCAATTTCATCAATGATTCACGGACCTGCCTGCTCTGGTGTTCTCTGGGGAATGCCAATCGAGCTCAACAATGCTGGGATTTGAGGACAAGTCCAACTAGAGGACATAAGGCACTCATGCCACTCTCATGGAGATTGTTTCTGACAGTTGGGTCAGAAACTTTCACACCAGTAGCTCTGGCAGTGCTTTTTCTGTTCCTGTTCCTCATGGCACAAAAGAGTAAAAACCGATCCTGTTGACGAGGTCATGGCCTTCTACGACCCTGTCCAGCTCTCCTTGTGTAACAGCTGGTCTCCTGGTATCTGATCCTTTCTCTTAAAGACGTCCTTGTGTCGTAGTTTTTAAAAAAGTAATTTTAAATTCATGATGGTACTAACACCACAAACTTCATCGCTTCGTATTGTTCAGCTCACCGTTGTAATGAGTAACAGAGGATTCTCTGACTGTCACCTCGAACACAGCTTGTCTGAGGTGCTGTCTGTGGGTGTTCTTGGAATAGAAAAAAGGGCGTAATGAAACAATGTTTGCCTGCCAAAACCCTTCAGTAATGGATATCCGTCAGCTGCAGCACACTGGCGGTTACTCGCACTCAGGTTAATCTTAAAGATCCGTCTGCCCTCCCCTGTCTTGGGGAGTGATTTCTCATTATCATGATTATTTCCACAACTTATGTTTCTAAAGATTCTTCATGCCATACATTGCTAGAAAGCTATGATTTTGAGTGATTCCAATAGTGCAAACCATTTCAAGCCACGACAGCAGTCACAATCTAAGCATCTGTCAGACCACCGACAAATAAACAACGATTTTTACTTTCTTTTTTTACTCTTAAAATTTGATGATTAGCTGAACTCTCCTGATCATAATATTCTGACAAAAACAGTCCTGCTGCATCATCAAGGATCCCCCACGATTTAAATCCAGTACAAGATCAAATCAAAACAATACTTCCCTCACGATCCTTGGGTTGCTTCAAATTTGCCACCACTATCCCGATGTCCCACTTTATTTCCTAAATATGAATGTTCATGAATTTTTGATGAAATTCATGTAATAATGGCCACACCCTGACTTTTAGACTGAAACTTCATTTTGCCAATTAGGGCCTTCCATTTACATGTTCCAATAGCCAATGAGAGGCTGAGTTGAAAGAAGCTGTCTTTCCCTACATCGTGATGTATCTAAACCTAGCCAATTGAATGCAACTGTGACAATGACTGACGCTTTTTGTAGCCAAAGAAATATAACTGTTAGTTACAAGGACACTTAGCAGAATACAAAACTAGAGAAGAATCAGTCAGGAGGGATAAGGAGAGAGAAAATGTATTTGGACACCACCTTTTTGGGGGTCATCTTGCCTTTGCCTCTCCATTGCACCTTCGGTCACTTTCATTTGCACCAAAGCTGGTGAAATTAACTGACAATAACGTGTAATTCCTTCATGAGTGGATTGATAGCCTTGACATTTAACTGACTTGGTGTTATTGTATACTGCGACGAGTAAGCCTTGCTTTAATTTTTTATTATTATTTTTTGAGAAGGGTATAAACTTGTCAAATCATCCCAGACTTCTTCACAAAGATCATCACATTAGAAACTGTTTTAATGTTTGACAGCAACTGTGTAGAGTAAGGTATAGGGATGGGTACCAAAAACCAGTATTTATGGTACAGGTACTTGAATATCCAGTACCAAGAGTACCGTTATCTCTCTTATCCATATTTACGTTAGTCCCTCTTCTTTTTTTGTTGTTGAGTCCAATAAAATTCCATCATTAATTTACTGTACAGAGACGCTCATTGTTACGAGCTAACACAACCCCACAGCTAAATGCTATCCTAGCGCCTATGCTAAGGCCAGTGAGCCTGTAACTTAATGCCTCTCCTTACGTGTTGCTTAAACGTGAATGTGTATCCTGCCTTATCTGAATGTGTGTGCAACTGTCCTGTCTGTTTGAGGGGTGCGTGTAGGTCACCCCAAAGATCCTTGTACGTGCCGCGACCAGCTCACTCGAACAGCCCGATCCACGGAGTCACCTGGCTACGATCTCCTCCGCCAGCCCTCTCTTTCATATCAGATTAGTTCATGTGTAAAAAGAACCTGTGAAGTGTTGAAACAAAAACAAACGTTACTTCAGATTCAGTCTCTCAGGTGTCAGCGTCCTCGCGTCTTCCTCATGGCGTCTCTTCGACTCAAAACCAATTTCCCTCCGGCTCCTTCGCAGGTGCTGCGAATGAAGATTACAGAGACAGAGCCACCACACCCCTCAGGTGTGTCATCAGTACTGACCCGGCTTCTCCTCCTACCAACCACGCCTACTGCTAAAGACACAGCTGTGAGACAGGGGGCGTGTGCACAGTAAGCATTAAAAAGTCTTCCTTATACTCTAGACAGGTATGTATGTGCCTTTTGATGAATTATCTTTATGTGAGCATCACATCTGTGCGCGTCAAATGAGGTCATGATTCTCATCAAATCATTATTTTCTGCTCCTAATAATATGAAGGAACAAACGATTCCTCTGCAGCCTAAGGAGGATCGTTCATACAACACAGCTGTCACTGTTTGTCACTGTTAACAGAGAGATGAAGTTAATTAAATTCAGTGATTTACCTGAGGGTTGTTACCTGCAGCTTTACATCAGGCTACAGGATAAATGACATGCATGCTCTCCTCTCTCTCTCGGCCCTGTGGGAGAGCACTGTGTCTTGCTATCCTTTTATTACGTTAATATTCAGCATCCTGATGTGTTTGGTGTCTGTAAAATAATGATCTTATTTCAACATATGAGCATTTTATCGTTTGATAGAAAAGCTCATGTATGTATGGGGAGAAGCGTCACAGAGCACAATGTAGACTATTAAACCTTTATGTAAATGTAACATTCATTGGTAAATGTAAAAAACAAAGTACAACCTTAAGTGTTAAAACACTACCATCAGAGTTAATGAGGTTACTTCAACTGTCTTGGGAGTGTATAGAAAATGGCATATACTGCATGTCCAGTGTCGCAACTTAAAAGAGACACTAATAAAAGTACTCAAAATCTAATCTATAGAATTAGATGAGAAGTTACCCAATATCTAATCATTAACTAATGGTTAACTAGTAGTTCCCCATTGACTATGCAACAATTTGTGTTATCCATTAACTCTAGAATATGTGATGAAGAAGTACCCACTATCTACCCATTACTTAGTGGTTACTTAGTGGTTAGTTTCCCACTAACTATGCAACATTTGTGTACCTTATTGTAAAGTGTTACCATTTTATCATTTCAACATCTTTCATGTCATGTGTTGAGTTTTTGTCACAAAATGATTAAGATTAAAATCAATAGGCGTATCGATGAGTATTGGTATCAACAAAGTTGGTTGGTCTTGATATGTATGTCTTTATCTATAAATCTCTTATTGGACGTACACCATTTTATATAACATCTCTGCTGAACTGGTCTATCGGACCCTACCACACTCGCTCTACTGAGAGTCTATTGCTTCAAGTCCCTCCGATTTACTCTGAACTTGGAAAATCCGCTTTGAGCTTTTTTGATCCAAAAATGTGGAACAATTTACAACACTTTTTGAAGATTGACACTCTTGTTTCTCTTGGACAAATTAAGACAATGATCTCAAACCATTTTACCACAGTGTGCTATTGTTTTTTTTTTAGAATCATCCTGACCTGTCTCTGTTGTTTTGGCTGGATTAAATTCTAACGATGCCCATCCCTAGTAAGGTATGCAATTTACAAACATACACACTTGTTAACTGACTTATATCCAGTCATACAGCCTCTCTACTACCAGAGGATTAGTGTAGTGGAATTCATTAAAGCACAAAGTAATACTTTCTGAAGCTTAAAACATTAATTTATTCAAAATTATGTGATCAAGGGGAAAGATGATTCCTGCAATTATGTTCTGACTGCAATTGGTTGTTTTGTTATGCAAATACACCGATTGCTTCTCAGTTAATGTTGGCAAAAGTTTAACTTATGGCCTCTTCTCTTTGCCAAATCAGCTCTCCTGCTTTGAACATACAGTACATCAGGATTTTAGAAATTTAACAAGTCATTTGTGCAGCTGCACATGCAGCTGTGATTTAGTTACTTTAGGGTTTAAGGCCAACTTTCTTTGGAATAACGTTCATTATTAGTATGCAGGCATCAATTTGCATCCAGTGCAATTCATTTCATTTTGATATAAGTAGATGCAAGCCAATAAACTTGGTGGACTTCCCTTAAATCAGGGATGCATGATCTTGGATTTTTTGCCAATATCGGATATGCCGGTATTTTACCGGTATTTTGGTCGATAACCGATACAGATATACATGTACAACTTTCCCCACACTTAATTGCAGAGATCAGCAAGTCAGTTCTGAGGTGAAATAAACTTACAGGACTCCTATGCATACTCTTATGATGTTAGCCTGTCAGCAAATGTAGACATTAAAACAATGCTCAAAATGTCTGTGATATTCTTTCCTTATGCAAAAGTAGAAAAATACATCAGACAGGTTCTTAAAAGGTGCTACACAAATAAATTGTTCTATTTTTAATTATCATTACTTACCTGTGATGCTGTTTTGTTTGTGGATGTCTGTTCCAAGAAGTCTTTCTCCTCTATGATTTTGTCGTACATGTCCACTAGTGTTCTAGTTCGGGCCTTCTTCTGTGGTGGAGTTCCTCCTTACTAGCATCTTTGCTGCTGCTTGCCATTTCATTCAGCACATTCAGTAGCAGATTGCTTCCTCCCTCCTTCTTTTCCTGTGTCGGAATGCCGGTCTTTGTAGGCTGAAACTGAATAAGAGTTTGACTTTGCACATCATAAAAGCGAGAGCAGACAGCTTCTAGTAGTGTACTTTTGGCAGTTTGCACACCGTTGTCTGAGTCACCCCTCCTGCTAAGCAGCCGTGTCAGTGCCACCACAGCTGGGATGACATCTGCAGCAGAGGCCTGTGCAGAACTGATCTCTCTGGTCAGCTGCTCAAGGGAGGGGGCGAGTAGGGTGATCATATTTTCCAGTATTCCCCGTTGATGTGCTGTCAGTGTCACTTGGAGGTCAAAATCAGCAGCATATGCACCCTGGCCAGCAGGCTTTGCATCATTATAAGAAGTTGAATTCCACCTGGGGGAGACATCTTGTTGTAGCTGTTAGATAGGCATCGTCTGCTCATTCTGCAAAGTTGTGAATGCTTGAAGTGCCCAACTATTTTCTTTCCCGCATCTGCGATGCTGCGCTGACACAGCAGACCTTCATTCACAGCGAGCTGCAAAATATGTGTGCCATACACGGCAGACTTGGCACATTTAACTCCAGCACTGTTTTAGCCACTTTGAGTGCGTTGTCTCTCACCATTACAGGCACTTTCTCTTTTGTGTTTTTTTTTCACATTCCAAAATTGCCAGCTAAAGCAGTTGTGATTGCAGCCTCAGTGTGAGATCCTCTGCACTTTAATAAATGAAGGACAGCCTTTTGAAGTTCAAAGTTCCCGTCCATCCATTGTGCCCGTGAGGCTCAGCATGCTCACATGGATAACACTTGACATCCAGATGTCTGTGGTAAAAATAGCGATTAGCTTTCTCAGTGATGTTGTTAAGCACAGCTTGAAGCTCAGGTAAGGCCACATCAGAAAAATAACTCCAACTGGGACCTTGTTGCGAGGCTCAACGTAGTCCAGAAATCTGCAGAATATGACATCTTCAATGAATGAAAACGTCTGATGTCCAGAGCAATACACTTCATCAGTTTCTGAGTGATGAGTTTTGCCTCAGGTGGTCTGTATTTCCTGGTTTTATCCAAGCACTGGATAAGAAGCTGCTTCTATTTTTTTTCTCCTTCTGCTGGTTATGTGTTGGGATGACAGATCTTGAGGTGTGCAATTAAGTTTGCAGTGTCTCCTCTTCACAACACTGCAAATGGCAACTTTGCTATACGTTTCAGACACTTTAAAACCCTTCAACAAAGCACCTGAAGAGTCTTTTTTTCTTCTTTGCAGAAGAAGAGGATTTTATTAAATTGCACACTTTTATTTCAGTCTGAAAAATGACTAAACCCAGATGTGTATTATTTTTTCCATCATTTTTTGACATGGTTGCTTTTAAGGTAATATTAGAACATTCCCAGTGAAACAACAAGGCCAGCTAGTCCTGGTTGTAGACTGTGTTTACTCTTGGAGATAACACTGGATGAACCAATCATGTAATGAAAACTTCCCAGAAAGGGAGATTAAATTGTTATCACTTGATTGCACAGATGATTGAAAGGATTTCTGTTGGTCAAATTTTGCCTCCAGTGAGTATCACCAACACCCACTGATCATTGAACAGTAGTTGGTGCCATGGCTTTCTATTTGTCTTTGTTATCACTGGCATGCACTGGATCAACTGCCTGTCCCTCTGTGTTTTTTATTTTTATTTAAGCCAGTCCAGGCTGAATCAAGGCCAACAACACAAAATCTCTATGTACACTGCAACTCCAGAACTGACAGGCAGATTTCCACTCAGATTTCCACGTGAGGGATATACATAAAAGAACTGCATGGACAACAAGGTTTATAGAGAGTCCTGGAGGTCGCTGAAATAGTAAGTAACGACCAAGCCACCTGACAGCAAAGGAATATAAGCAAACAATGGATAACATTCATGAATACAAAATTAAGTCTAGCAGGGTCAGACTCGAGCAAGAAAAGCACACATTGCCATGTGTACTCCATACAATAATATGTTAAAGCCACGTTTCAGCACCAAGGACAAGGACACTAGACTAAACAAAGGGAAGCAGAAAGATTTGATTTAATGTGAACATTATATTCAGAGCAGAAGCAAAAGCTTGCCAAGAGTGAAAGAATAAGTCTCACTGACGATCAGAATAGCTGAAGGGGACAACTGCTGGAATTGAGCTTTGCAATGGTCTTTCTATTCATTAGTGCACTTCTGTATGTTCCGTCAGATGCACGAACAGGGCCTCTGCAACTTTACCAATTGACCAAGTTGTAAACGTGGGAGACGATGAATAAGAGCATGTTTGAGTCACCTGCCACCGTCAGGGCTTAATAGCTGCTGGGAGATCAAGGTAATACCATCTGTCATGATAGTAAATGCGAAACAGACTCAATCCTTGAAGCATTTATCTAACTAATTAGCTGATTATGTTTGTATTAAAAGGACCTTGTGAAGCTGTCTTAATTTTGTTTGATTTTGCTAATTCCTAAACCATCAATATTAAGAGGGGAGCAGGGCAGCTAACGAGCTTAATGAGACTTAACGAGCTGCACCTGGGAGTTAACGAGCTTCACCTCAGTTGCTGAGAGCGAGCGAGATGTAAGCCTGACTTTATGCTTTTATTGACTTTTAACAATAGCTTTGTTTTTCAGCTCAGGGGCTGTTATGGGGAGGAGGGTATTTGTTCAGTGTTGCCAATGCACTACTGAATACATTCTGATGAATGCTTTTTGTGAAACTAGGAATTAAGTCAAACAAAGTGTAGACAACCCTCTGTTCTGAAGACTTAATTGCTAATCCAAGTCTAATACTGTTGGCAGTATAAAAATCAGGACTGATGAAGGCATCCGTGATCTTCAATTATACTTATCTGAATTGGAATTGGAATTAAACAAGGATAATTTTACATTTCAAAATGTAGGAGAAATAATATAAAACATGCTTTGCAGCAACCGGTTTGGCAAGAAAGCATTGTCGTACAGTATCATAAAAACCTCACAGTGAAAAGTTACAGATCAAATTCATGCAAAATATTCACACTACCTGACAGGATGTTGGAGTGTGAAAAAATCTTGATAAACTAAATCAAGCCTTCTTTAAAGGAGCAATATGTAACTCTGACACCTAGTGTTTAAAATGGGTACTGCAGCCCACATTCAACACATTGAAGAGAGCTGCCCCCGCCCCCTCCTCCCATGAGCCGATGCGGTCACGGGAACCTTGAAACCTTGTTTTCTAAGCTCTCTCCATTTTTCAAAAGCATCTCCAATATTTCTCCTAGTTTTATTACATGTCTGCTCATGGAGCTTATTAGAAAAATGCTGAAGCTTTTTACTTGGGTAGATTCAGCCTGACAAACCAAGTGGGCATCCAAAATGTCTGTCGGGGGGGGGGGGGTCCCATATTATGCTTTTTCTGGTTTTATATGCTCTTTAGTGTGTTTTCCAAGTGTCCTGTGCATGTTTAGGCATGTTTAAGTCTGCGGAAACGCGGCTTCTCCTATGTCCTCCTGTTAGCTGTAGCATTAGCTGCATGTAACGTTCGGTTCTAGCCCCCCTCGAAAAAAAATTGCCAGTGTGACGTCTTGTCAGTGTGATATCACTGATCTAAGCCCACTGGCTCGTTGGGGCAAGCCCAGCAGCTCATGTTGCACGCCCGTAGCCTGCGGTAGCACAGTAGTGCTAAGGTGCTAATGTTTTTGCTCTGCTCGGAGCCAAAGTGGCTGCATTCCAAATATGGTAAAAGGGGCGGGACATTTCAGAGAACCGGGACTCTGAACGTGGGCACTTCAGAACCTTAGAGAGAGAGTCAGAAGCAAGCCGGTGCATGGAGCGGCAGTACATGAAAACAAGACACTTTTTTAGAACTTTAGCTATTGTGAACGTACTTTAGTAGGTACATAGATTACGAACCCCAAAAAGGGCAGAATATGGGCTCTTTAAAACAGTCTACCTTCTTTGGTCAAAACAAATCTAGAGTATTCAGGACCAGAATCTAAACTCAGAAGGAGGACATACTGGCTGCTGCATTGTTGTCAGAGAAGCCAGCACTTAGACATAACATGTTTCCTTAATGTCTGATCATATAGTAAGCTCGTTTTATGATTTAGTTCAGTAGATATGTCAAATATTGGACCTTAAAATGACATTGCAAAACCACAAGCTAGTGAGTTTACATGTATTTATTTATTATATTTATATATCATTTATGAATTAATGATTGTATTTACTAGCTGTGATAATATTTGTATCCCTCTGCTTAACGCACGATTGTTCTAACATTACTGAGCTTGCTTGACATTTTGTTTCCAAACTCTGCTTGCCACCTATACCTAAATGTTGCAGTAAGCTGTACCTAACATGTAAGCGACATGCAGCTCTTATCCTGCATGTTGGTGTGATTTTGCAAAACAAAAACATTGTTGAAGCAGAAAGAGAGAGACATTTCCATATTGAACCTGCCCTATAATGACCTATTTCTCTCTCTACCTTTCATCCACCCATCACTCTGTTGTTTTGTCGTTCTTGCTGACAGATGAGTGACTGATGTGGCTGATCTGTTCACTAGCTTTAATGGAAACAAACTGACAGTTAAAAGGGACACTCAATGAATGTTCTGATGAGATCCGAGAACCTGTAAGCTCCTTATTTGGGCTGTAGTTCTCCATAGTTTTATAGTACTTGTAAAAATGTGGAAATTAGCATCCCATCCTGACTTTTGAGAGCACAGACTTGTGCAGGCTCTGCAAATAAAACCCTGTTCCAGCAGGCTGACTTAAAACTCCTACTCAATTAAGGCGCTGTACCTTGTACAATTTCAGTCACATAACTTACTACCATTATGTTCTTTAAATTTTACAAATGGATTTTACAATTAAAAGCAATTTAATATTGCTTTTCAATGTAAAGGTAGCCTATATAGTCATTACTGCAGTGATTCACTATGTTCTTTTCATGCATTGGTTCATTGAGATTGAAAATTCATGTTGGCTATGTTTCATAAGACACGTTTCAAACACAATCAAAGTGAGTTGGCACAGAGTAGCAGTAATCACAGGTTGAACCTCATAAACACAGAGGGAAGAACACAAAAATAATCTTCTTCACAAGAGCAAAAAATACTGCTGCCTCAAATATGATCTGGATCTCATTTCCAAACATGTGGCACCATCTTTAAAAGCAGTAAACACTTGCTTATGAAATAAAAAGGTTTTTTTTTTTTTTTTTTTTTTTTTACTTCATTATATTAAAAAGTCTTATCTTGTTCCTCCCAGGAGACATGCCGGAAGGATGTTGATGAGGGGAGATTAAATGACAAAAAATAGGACAAGATTATTGAGGAAGGACAAGAGAAGATTGTGTCATGGTATATTTGATTTGTGATCATCTTTGAGATCATTTGAGGTGTTAACCAAAAGATGACCACAAACATCATTGAGCACAATCACATAATGTTACATTTTTGGAAATGTAAATCATCAGACATTGAGATTAGGCTTCATCCTGCCTTGATTACACCCAGATATAGATGTTTGGTTGGAGTTGCCTGCAGCTCAGTGGGGAGGTGATCTCAAGCTGCTCTGTGAACGTGTGAACAGCATGTGAGGCGAACACGTGCTCATGTCCTCACTCATTTAATTTTGTATTACAGTTATTTCTGGTTTGTGACCAGTGACCCCTGAACTCATTTCTCTGTGTGTGTGTGTGTGTGTGTGTGTGTGTGTGTGTGTGTGTGTGTGTGTGTGTGTGTGTGTGTGTGTGTGTGTGTGTGTGTGTGTGTGTGTGTGTGTGTGTGTGTGTGTGTGTGTGTGTGTGTGTGTGTGTGTGTGTGTGTGTGTGCTGGGACAGACTCCAGCCTCCCTGTGAACAGATATAAGAGAATGTGTAGACTGAGGGATATTTACTTTTATTCATGAATTAATTCCAATAGAGACTCCTGAAATACTGACGACTAAATACCCTTTTTTTTCTCTCGAAAATGTAAAGGTTAATTTGAAACACATCATAATAGATTCAAACAAATGTTGTCCTTGCAAATACCTTACTATTGAATTATTTAGACATTTCATTTAGCCAGCATTTGGAAAGTAACTGCTGGAATTTACAAGTCTAAACTTGTCTACTGAGGTAAGATGTGACTTAAAAAATTATGCTGAAGGAGCGGACGGAGCAACAGAGTCTACTATACGACGCTATAATGAGAATATTTGCCTTTATATCAATGGAATGACAACATCAACAAAAGAGCGGAGAACAGAAAATGCAATGCAGCCGTTTAAGTACGTGCACAGAGACTGTAGTGGTTGTGTGCAGACACTCTTTACACCGTGCAGCAGTAACTGTATAGAAACGTCTTTTCTTCCTATTGGCTCGAGATGAAATCTCCGGAGAATATCCTGCTGCGTTCCCACATCAGCTCACTCGGACTTGCTGTTGAAAAAGTACTAGGGGTCTAGCAGGAGAAACTCCGGGTGAAGTCATTGTGAAAAATGTGGCTGTTTGCGTTCACATATATACAGCTCCTCTGGGAAATATCCTGAGTTTTTCAGGAGATTTCTGCAAGTGTAGATAGATAGATAGATCCTTTAATAATCCTTGACAGGAAATGACAGTGCCACAACAGCTTCAAGTAAGACATAACACCACACATTTAATCAGATAGCTTCCATACTTAATAAGTTAAAATACAATAAAAAATACTAAAAAAAGTGCAAAGTTGTGCATTGTAAAACCTTAAAGCAGCTGGTATACAAGACTTCCTGTATCTCTCAGTTTTGCACATTGGAAAACTGCACACCAAGGTACCTGTGGTTGGCGACCACCTCCACCTCAGTGCCCCTGATGGTGATTGGTGTTGGTTGAGTCCTCCTCCTCCCCCTCCAAGTGTGAAAGCCCTAAAAGATTCCCTTTAGCAATGTTGGATTTTTGAAACCAGTTTTTTAAAGAATACAAGCACAGAAGAGAAAGAGGGCCCAAAATGGACAGTTTTATGCTATAAATAAGAGCAGTAAAAAAATAATTTTACCGATCTTGTTTTTTATTTAAAAATTTGCAAATTGTTATCTTTTGTTTTCTTGGAATAAATGTTAGGATAGCAGCATTTCCCGGACATAAGTTTATTTGGGTTGCTGCCGTCTTTGAATACTGGAAGAGTGTTAGAAAGTTTTCCTCCCACTTAAAATCCATATTGAACCTGAAACTTGCGTTTAAATAAATCTTACTCCTACTTTCAGACACCCCTTGTAGCCTCAAATTATATTCTTACCATCGGGAGCAGTGTGTGTCACAATGTACTGTTAAACTTCAGTCACAAAAAACAATTTGTCATGTGAATAGGAATGAGATGGATACAGTCCTCTGATTCCTCATTGATTACTTAGACTACATCACGTTTCATTCTGTAACCTGTGTTGGTATTGTCTCCCTGCAGCGTTCAATCATGGCTGATATCAGCTCAATTAACTTCATGATTGAGGTCAAGGCAGTTGTGACAAACACAAGTATTGTTAGCGTATACTGAAACTAATCATGGTGTTAGTTTACATCTATTTACATTCATTTTTTACTGAATCAACTCTCTGTTTGTAACCACTTGTGTTTTTTGGAAGCAGACACTGTGATTTATGATCTTGTCAGTGGTGTGACGACACCTCCACCTGACCACCGGGTGTTCCCGTCTGAGTTTCGCTGAGTTGTTTGGATTGCATGGGGTGTGTTTTTCAAGGATCATTAGATTTATGAGCTGCACCTCGGCCTTGTGCACTCCGTACTGGTCCCCATCTCTGAAGGCCGGCATTGTGATGGCTCTTCAGTTCAGCCTTTACACTGACAAGCATCCAAACACACTCTGCACTCCTGGATATCAGCGATCCATTAGGACATTTTTGTTGAATAAAATCACTTGTTGCACAATTCTACCTATGTTGTCTCCCTGATTGTCACAGTCTTTGAACCATGCTCTGATATTAAACAAAAAATATCACAGCAGTTCAAGAGGTTTGTTTTAATGGTAATTATGTTGGTAATGCTAATGGGCTAAACATTCTGTTTATGATAGATTTACCAAAGCTTGGACATTCAGTAGATCTAGTTTATCAAAAATGCTAGCAGAGCAGTAGCCTACACTGTAAAAAACACAACAACAAAATCAGATCAGTTTGAGCATAGTCATAACTTCAAATCCTTAAAAGTTACATGTATGGAAACTAACAAAAAAAGATCTTCTCATAGCATTTCACTGGCTATCTTCTCCAACGGTCTACCCAGAAGTCCATGTCTTTGCTAGCAGAACGTCATGGTGTCAGTCTATAGGATTTGGAACTCCCTACATTTTAACTAATGGATTAGCCTATTACATTTTTTAAGCCACCCATATTTAATTCAAAAGAATCAATTTTGGGTCTAATTTATACTTAATCGGCTTCCACTCTGAGACACAAATCATTGATTCTAATGTGTTTAGGAATGCTGTTTTTCTCTCCTATCTCCTTCAGCATCTCCAATTCAAGCAGCTAATGAGGTTGATCAAATTCGCTGGTGAAGACAGAACAATGGAAGGCAGGCCCTATGCAGGCAAATCTTGAAACAGTTGGTTTGATCTTTGAAGTGCGATGGGAAAATGAAATACATGGTGATAGACATTATTTTTCCAGTTCTGACAACCTTCAAAGCAGAATTATTTTTGTGAATCATCTGGATTATAACCGCCCACACTCGCATCATTTCCCATCATGAAGGTAAACCCCCCCTAAAACATCTTACTTTCATGTCAGTGTGTCATTTGAAACCTCAGAACACTGCATGTCAGCCCTTGCTGTTCGGAGAGATGACACGACCTCATTCTGGTGCTTCTCTCCTGCTGGGTCTCCCGTTTGACTCTGTTTCTGCTGCTTGTTTTTGAAGGCTTTAAATGGGCCGGATGGCTTGGAGACCTTTTAGGTTAGGCTCATACAAATGCTCTTTGTAATTCCAAAGAGAGCTAAAGGCTTGCAAGGCCTGGCCTGTGGAGAAGCATCCATTGAATCAAAACTATAAGAATCATAATATCCTTTATTCCGCAGATCTGAAAGGCCTTTAAATGTATTCAGCTCTGTGTTGTGTGTATATGATCAGTTCTTTGGCAACTAAGGATTATCATATTTGGTTGAATTTTTTCAACTGTGTTATAATTAAAAATTGTTTGTACATGCACAACACAAACATTGTGATGATCTTTAATTAAATCTACCTGAATAATGAATAGCACACATTGTTATTGCGAAATGTTTCCCTGGGTTATTCATGAATGTTTTAATAATTCTAGTCTCATTTCAAACATCCTAGCCCTCCTAAAGAAATTCAGTCCTGAAGTTAATTGAGTCAACATTTCAATCACTGTCATGGAGAAATGCTTTAGACAGCCATTGCTCTGGAGAGTAGCAAGAATGTCACAGGGCACTACAGCGCTCACATGCACTCACACACACACACACACATACACACACACACACACACACACACACACACACACTCAAAACTGCCAAGAGGCACTGCTTCATAATACGTACCTTCAGTGTGCTTGCTTATCTCAACCTCACATGCTAAGATGAAACAGTAACAATCAAAATGATGGGAAACAGAAGGTCGTTGTGGTTAATTGACTCATTACAGCTTCAATACATCTGGTTCAAAAGACGTTAAACCATTGTAAGCATATAAAATGGTAACACTACGAGATGCTGCCTGTTACTCTATGCATTTCCTTTATATTGACATGCACCTTAACTGCCTCTGCTTTATCTGGTCTCATGCACTACATCACTTTATTGTATCCATTTTATATCAGTATTCATACAGTTCTGCTAACTTTATTCCTGTTGTTTCTTATCCATCATTGCACTACGGTCACTTTATTTATCTCATTTTTACCTCACAGTTATATTGTATATATTAGTTCTGTTGTTCCATTATTCACCATGCACCTTAATAACTTATCATTTAGTATTTAGCCTACTTGCACATAGTTCTGTATATATATATTTATTTCTCGTTTACTGCACATAGTTCTGTTTACATCTGGTCACTACTGCACATAGTTCTGGTTACATCTGTTTACATCTGTTAGTCCGATCACTGTCCACTTACATCTACTCTTTTATATTTTGTATTTTTAAGTTAAATTTAAGCTTTAAGTTGTATTTAAATTGACACTTTATATTTAGGTTAAAATGTTTTGTTTACTTGCACTGTTGTTAATTTACTGCTCTGTGTGCCTTTGAATTGCCCCCCGGGGACAAATAAAGTTTTTTGAATTGAATTTGAATTGAATTGAATTTGTAACAGGTTTTATGTAAGGGTAAAGGGGCTCAGTTGGTAAAGTCGGTCGTCTCGTCTCTCAACTGGAAGGTCGAGGGTTCGATCCCCAGCTCCTGCAGCAGCATGTCCGATGTGTCCTTGGGCAAGACACTTGACCACCAATTGCTCCCGCTGCTTTGTCTGCAGCATATTAATGTGTATAAATGGAATTAGTTACTTCTGATGGTCACATTACATAGCAACCATCGCCATCAGTGTGTGAATGGATGTGAATGGGTAGGTGTGTCATGCTGTGTAAAAGCACTTTGAGTAGTCAGAAGACTAGAAAAGTGATATCAAGTTCAAGTCCATTTACCATTTACTATAAATCATCAGTATATTTCAACAGTTAATTAGATCATTTTAGTCCAGACAAGTTTCAAATGCTGTTATATCTTTGAACTACGTTGCTCTTGAAAAATGTAAAATGCCTGTAAAAGGCCTTCAGAACATCACTGTATGATACATTTTACTTTAACAGTAATTAATTTCAATGCTGAAAATGCATAACATATTAAACTTTTTAATATGAATATTAGTCTTTAAATATGATGTAAGTTCAATAAGTCCCAATGTGACAAACAAAAATGGAGGTAACACATTTAATTCAGTTCAGGCAGCAAAACCCCCTAGAAGTCCCATAGATCACTTCACTGGCTTCAACATACACCCAGTGGACCCCAAAGTGGGCAGTCCCTTTGGTACCTTAAAGGTGTAGAGTGGATGGCATGGTAGCATGTAACAGTCTGAACATTGTACTTCCGAGCACTTTTGTGGAGTCCAAAAAAAAAGAGGCTTCTGTTTGAGGACTATTCAATTGTCTCAATTGTCACTTAAAGCTAGAAGTTGGGATTTCATGGACCTGTTGTCAACAGAGTTTTCCAAAGAGGCACGTAGCATTAGCAAGGATGCCAGAAACCACTGCTCCACTTCAAAAAGGTAAGTGCTCCTCCTGCTGAAGTGCATTATTATCCTTGGCTGTGTTTGGCTGGTGTGTGTTGTCAGCTTGTGTTGGATGTCATGTGGGTGCTGTTCTACTAAGTTGGGCTCTGATGTGATATCGGTTTCTGCTGAGCTCTGGGGATAAGTCCTTGCTGAGGATGGACTAACATGTATGTTAGTAAATATTTCTCAGCTGCTTGATGATGCTTTTATGTTGTTTATGGAAGCACTTATGTTTGAGTGTGGGTCAAATTGGCTTTCAGTCAACCTAGCAACAGGCAAAGAGGAGGGGCTAAGGTGGGACATAAGCCTCCTAGTAAACAGCCACTGTGACTTAAAACAATAAACAATATGAATTATTGACAACATCAACCCTTGTACAGTGTGTATCCAAAAACATGAGCTATTCAGACCAACTTTGCTTTTGAACCAAGATATAATCATGTTTATTTCAGCTGTGGGTGTTAATTGGACTTGCAGTTTTTTTTTGCATCGGTTTTATTGATCAACACTGGGCACTCCCAATATTAGTAGCTTTATTCAAAAACCTACACCTTTGACAGTAACGTCAAAAGTCAGCTAGAGCAGTGTGTCCATGTGTCAGCTCATGTGACTAGCCTTCGTATCACTGTCTGATTTAACTGCTGAGCCTCTGTTCAGTGCGTCTCTTTGCTGCATTCTTCTCTTATCATAGATTCCTACCCATGTACTCAAGGTCATCTGCCACTTTCCCAAGCTGCGTGGCGTTTCATAAAAGAGACTATCTGCTCCAAGGCATGAATTTCAGATTTTAATATCCGTAAATTGATAATCATCTCCTGCTGACAAGTCTTAGCCTGCTGCTGCATATCAGGTGGATTTTTTCAGATTAATCCATCAAGGTTCAGGAGGATATTTAAAGTGTATTGTAGCTTGAGGTGGCAGCTGCTGCTGACCCTTAGAAGTAGACACCATATTATAGATTTATAAAGCTATGGGTATCTTGTGCAGTTTTGTAAATGACTCATTAGTCATATCTGGAAAGATTGCTGAGTTTGGTGATTTTCTGTAGGGAGTTACATGGTCAGTGTCATCAAATAATTTCTTGTTCGATATAATCTCTGTACCTCCATTATGAGATGGCTGATTAATTTACTTCCTGGGGTGCTCATTTGGGGAGAGCTTGTAAAAAATGTGAAAGGAGGGGCGCTGGTGGCGTAATGGTTAGTGCACGCGCCCCATGTATGGAGGCTGTAGTCTTCCAAGCAGGCGGCCCAGCTTCAAATCCCACCTGTGGCTCCTTTCCCGCATGTCTTTCCCCACTCTCTCTTCCCCATTTCTGACTCTATCCACTGTCCTAAAGTGAAGTTGGTCAACATTAAATGTTACTTCACCTTCAATCAACATCATCTGTTTTTAAGGATACCCTCAGTTACCCTGAGACCACACAGCATCCCTGTGCACCGTCATTTAACTTTCTGAAACTGTTTCTGAAGCGTAGCTCAGCGCTGCAAACCAAAGAAGCTGGATTTGTGTAATCACAAGCTCCAAGGAGAACGACAAGATCACAACAGAATAAAGGGAACAATATACAAACAATTGGTTACTTTTGGAGGTTGATTTCTTGTTCATTTGGTGTCTGTTTTAATGTAATGTTGATATAGTGATGAGATATATGATTGGGAGTGGGTACTTTGAGTTCTTTTTTTTTTTAAATTGACCAGATACTCTATGCATTCCCATGTTCCCAATCTGCCTCAGACGAAAAGAGACTCAGAGAGTATTTTCGAGCGGAGCAGAGTGGAATGACGCTTCTGGGTTGCCCCTGAGATGGGTAGCAGCCCATGCAGTGGAAACGCAAACATTGACTACTGAGGGAATAGACGTAGTGCGTTCCTGGCTGGTTTTTTAATTGAATACATTGTAGTTTTGTTTGAAGTTGAAGGCCAGATCTCCCATTGACTACCCACACACTCCCATGGTTGTTGGCCGTTTACAAAGAGGTGAATGTGAACCCAATTTCAACCCATTTTGTGACTTTTCTTTGGAAAAAAAATACCCTTTAATACCCATTCAGTGGTTTTGATTGTGTGATGTGATGTGTGTGATTACTTAGGGGTTACTTAATAGTATTCAAATGTATTTCCCCATTTGCCAACCCCAGTGTTACTAAAAGTGTTAGACATTGGAACTTGGCGCAGGAAGAAGGGTAATGGGCCTTATCAAGCCGGGGCCCTTGGGTGTTTTACAACCAAATGTTGAGTTTTGTTTGCTGTTAGAACTCTGTACTTTTTCTCAGAGCTGGTCTTCACCTTAGTTAGCCTCCTACCAGTAATTCTTTCTTACATGCCCCCCTTCCTCTAGCCTGGACTCTAGCTCATATTCATCCATATAATTTTGTTTTTTAAGGTATATTAGTTCTTTGTTTCTATTAATTTGGCAACCCAACAATGTCTTTTGTTATAACTCTGACCTGCAAACAGTGTTGGTTCAGAAACATTCACTAAACTGATGGATTTTCCCAAAAAAGTAGATTATAGACTCAATTTTTTTAAATAATCTATCTCAATTATCATTCACATTCCAAAATAAATGTGTGGGGATGACTGTATCTGCTGAGACACTGCCCTCCGTCTGTATTTTTGGATTATCATTGTCATTGTTTTGCTGTGTTTAAATCAGTGATGGATCAGTCTTGAACTTTACAGCCAACAGTCGTTACTAAACAAAGATGCGGTGACCAGGCAACCAATCGTCTCTCCTCTGCTCTTCGTCTTTCTGCAGCAGAAGCTAACAGAGCATATGAGACGCCTTAATGACCTGAGAAACATTATTGGTATTTGCAAAAGTGTGAGTGAGGAAGTTCTGCTCAAGAATGAGAGCTGCAGTTCTGTGGAGATATACAGATGTACAATGTAGACACTGCATGCAGATGAAGCACAGCTTCTTTTTATCCAAATCCAGCATCTTCCCCCAGGGCTGTGCAGAGCTGTGGACCAGTTCAGAATATATTTGGCTATAACCACTGTTCCTCAACTTTTTTTACAGTAACTGTGCTCTCTTTTTTCACTTCCTCCCCATGACTTGACGTCCTCTGCTCTCTCTATGATGCTCGCAGCAGCTTTAGCTTGTAAATATGACTTTACATGAGTTTTGTTCTTAACCTTCTGGATTTTTAATAGATATTGTATTTGGTACAATACGATTTTGATAACCTTGGTATGTAGTAGCAGCATCTTCTAAACCCTAACGCTTTGTCACAGCTATCTCCCTTGTGTCTCCCACGGTTCCATCCTCATCCCCAGGTCACAGAGATAAACCGTTTAGTTTGACATGGTTTGAAAGGCCAACAGCTGTTAAGCTTTGGAAGAGTTTGATCATGTGTTCTTAATGAACACTGAGGATCGGGACATGCTTTACAGGCTGTGTTCTCCTAATCAATAGTACATGAGCAAAGCAAACGTTTCCTTAGTTTCCATGGCTCTGATGCATTATTAGTTTAAAATCAAGACGGAAACAGGGGGAAGCATCATATCAGCAGTTGGCAGTGATGGTAGCGGATATGATCTTGATGAGAACCCTGCAGTCCCGAGTCAGGAGCAGATGGCTCAAGCACATGATCTGTTGAATGCAGCTCTGGTGTGGGTTGGGAAAATAGTGATGAGTCTGTTTTGACGTGTGTTTATATAAATGGGTTGCTATTCACTCGATGATGGAGTTTGGTATTTCAGTTTCTGACTATTTTCACTCAAGCAGCTGTCCATTAATTTCTCTCAACGTTATTAAGGGAGCACCACCCAGTGAGTTTCACTCTGAAGCAGTTTTCACATAATGCACTCCTGAAAATGTCTAAAGAATTTTAGGAGAACTGCTTCTGAAATCTTCCTCTTCTGGTCATGAACACTTGCACCTCACAGCGGGAGGCCATCCTGGTGAGACGGGACCTTCTGAGGATAGACTCGACGCCAAAAGAATGACGCAGAAGTGGCATGTGATGCAACAAAGCAGGGTTTTGATTCCTGGCTCAAAATAAGGCAGAGATGGAACAATTCCTATTTGTACATGTGCACCTGTTGGCTCAACACTTTTACAAGCAACATAAGAATTATGATAATTGTATACTTGGAGAAAGTATGACGAATGTCATGTTAACACCTAATTTATTATACTAATTAAAATCAATCAAAAGAGAAGCCTTGGGGTTTTAAAAAGTCCTCCCCCTGGACATTTTGAGCATCAAACACCGTCATTTTTGTATTCTTGTGCACAAATTTGGCAAAAAATGTTTTATTTATTGTTATTTTTATAAAAGGACAATTATTTCATGTGAATGATAAATATTTGGTACTTCTCGCATGGATTTCAAATGTCACATTCCATCAGATTCAAAGTTTCATCGTTCACATGTAGCCTGATGATAACAGACACAGAGAGAAGTGTACCTCTTCATCTTCAAGATGTAGTCTTATTTTACAACATCATGAATTAGCCAGATTTTAAATAATAATTCACTTGTTATGTTTTTTTACTGCAGTTAGAATCTTTTTTCAAGTTTCTCCACTATAGACATCTGCCTTTTTTTAAACCATCCCCAGGACTGAAAACCTATTTTTAAAATGTCAAGCTGATGACTTCCATGACAAAATTGGATGCGTTAGGTGTTTATAAGTTCAGGACAAATTATTGATAAGGACAATTCATTAATAACAATATCTTTAGGGCAGGCCTGCACAGCAGTGTAACAAAAAAACATGCAAATGCTCTCGCTGAAAACTTTCATCATCATCCTCTTCTCTACTTTTCTTTCTCTTTGTTGTTTGGCATTGGGTTTCCTGGTTCACTGGATTGACTAAGATACAGCACCACCACCATATCGATGTACAGCTGTAATTGCAGTTAGAAAAGACAAATTCACCAGGTGCTGTACGTGGAAAACAGTGTTCTCCATAAAAACACCCAGTGGTACGAAATTAGGCAGAGTCAGCCGCCTCCACATTTTGAATGCAGTAAAAACCCTGCAGAGTCTGCTATATGATGCTATAATGAGAAGAGTTGCCTTTGTATCAATGCTTTGTGTAGTTCAACAGAATCAAGGAAAAGAGAACATCATACTGATGAACAGAAAACGTAATACAGGGGTTTAATAATGTGTTCAGATATTGGCCATGCAGTCTATGGTTGTGCACATATCGCAGGGAATAAACGTCACCACACCTTCCTATTGGCTCAAGTTCAATTCTTCTGATCATATCCTGCTGTGTTCTCATATCAGCTCACTCTGACTTTCTGCGGAATCAGTGTGAAGAATGTGGCTGTATGCGTTCACACATGCAGCTCCTCCAGAAAAGTTTTTCAGTAATTTAGTGCAACTGTGAATGCACTAAGATACAGATTATATGACGTTCTGAGTTTTTAGAAGTCATTGCTAAAACAGCAATACTCACTTGGCCTGAATTAGACTTCACATTGGAATTGTCAGATCGAATTGACATGCTGAACATGAAAAGAATGTTTCATTGGTTAGTCATTCACAGCCAGGTTAGTCAAAGTTATTTGTGGCTCATTTGTTTGAAGCGAGGACCCAGGGGAGCAGGAGGAGGAGGAACACTTGAGGTAAAGTGGTTGTTTCCTTTTATGCTTTCGCCAACCAGGAAATCTTTAAAGAGAGAAGTGGAAGGCGGACACATAGTGTGCCTTGAAATCATCTCATCAAGTAGTATATTGTTTGATTTTGACCAAGGTTTAAAGATTTCCTCCACTGATTGAAAGTCGTGTGTGTTGTGTGCAGTAAAGTCTGACCACCTTCAACTCATCATAGATTTATGAGATGATCTCATCCTTGTAATCAAAATGTTCCCTTTCTAAATTGAAAGTTTTCTCCAGCCTCCACATTGAGAAATATTTTCTTCTCCAGCCTGTTGTGCAACACTTTTTCGCTTCAAAGGTTTTCACACACTTTAAGCTATCCCTGTCATCTAATCTGTGGTGGCAGATGGAAAAAAAATCTGAAAGTTGTGTTGTCTGCATTGTCATGCGAGGGGGCTTGATAAATCCAACATCAGTGTATTTTGCTTCTAGTTCAGCATCTTCTTCTCGGGGCTCTTCTGTGGAAGTGTTATAGACTGCCAACTGTTTGGACTCGGGTCAACAGGGAGCCCATAGCTGCATGAATTATGCATGGAGTCTGCTCGCAGGCATACAGCCCTGTCTGTGCTGCCACAACACATGCAGCGACGGAGACAGAGACAGAGACAGAGACGGAGTAATGGAGAACAACAGCGGATAAGACAGAAACACAGAAAGGAGAGAGGGGGACACAGAAAAATGTAGAATGTACAACATACATGACATGGAAATAGAGCTGGAGACACACATTTAAAGACCAAGTTCACTCAATTGTTAGTATACATTTCTCTGAGAGCATCTATCTTATCAATTATTTATTGAATGAATGTTTGTGCTTGTTTTTTGTTTTTTTTTAAACTATCAGGAAGCCCCCCAAATATATTGAGTTCTCTATTCTGAAACTCAGATGTTTACGAATGTGATTTTTTTCAGTTAAATAGACGCATCCAGCCTCTCTGACTCAAATCCTGAAGAGAGTAACCTGAAGAGAGTAACCCCACCAGTCTGAGTGAAGTGTAGTGGATTTGAAGACGACTACAGGCTGAAGTTGTTTCGCTTGTATCCAAGAGGTATTTTTTTTTCTGTTTTAGCTCAACCTGCAGATTACAAATTGATGACCATGAGATAATCTTTTTCTGGACTTTATTTATTTATTGAATTTGTTTTAATTCTAGCAGAGCATAGGGACCATTACTGCAAACGAGTGGCTTTTTCTTTCCCGAGTGAATCAGTGAGTTAAGTGGAGAGGATGTGTATCCAGGACGATGTTTGAACTCAACCTTCAGACTTTAAATAGATGGTCGTGACTGAGACAACTTAGCCGTTATCTGTTGCTTCACGTTAACCCATATGTGTGTATTTGTGTGTCAGCTCCGCTCCACTGTGACTCTGTGCTCCCTCAGAATAATCCGACAAAGTGTGTGGTGTCACTACGATGTGTGGTGTCACTACGATTATTTTACTGCTCCCTATAGAGTCGGAGCCTCCCCGATTCCGAATCCTAGTTGGGCTGCTTCAAAGGGAAATACCTGAAACAGCCAATGAGCCGACATCTTGTAGGCTATATACTTATAAAGTATGTTTTACAAATTATCACACAGATGATCATTTCAAAGTGTTCATAATTTCACAATGTCTGACTAGATTCTATGTTTGACTTTATTTCTCAATTTTTTTGGATCAACCAATCACAGCTTCTCAGAAAAAATGTTTCATACCTAGCAACGGGCTCGACCACGCCTCCTCACTAAGATAAAAGTTTCTGTCTCTTCATCGCTTAGAGTTGCTCTTGAGAATGTTCCTAAATCACTCCTAGGCGAAGACTCCTTCCTAGGAATTTTTGAAGCTAAGTTAGGAGCTGTCTGAGAGGATTCTCAGAATGTTTGTGGATACGGGCCCTGATGTTTTAACGTTGTTTAGGTATCTGACTTCCTGTCCTGATTGTTCTGCTCTGTTATAAATTGATGAATTGGCATCCAGCAAAAATATATGCCTAGCATATCTGCTGCTGAAGCTGGGGTGGAGCTGAGACGCATGTCATCTTTGCTAGCATTGAAACTAGCTATGTAGTTTATCTCATTGCTTTGTAACTGAGTGTAAACTATCAGCATGACTGGACAACACAAGGGAAGAGAAGAAAATTCCCTCTCTGTACTCTGGTTGAACTCGGCTTTTAAAAAACAGATGGAGTTGAGTCGGGGAGTAATGTGAGAGACAGATGCAGGAGCCTGACCAAGGAAACCGAAAATGAGTTAGGTGTGGGCGCCCAACAGAGAAGAAGACAGGATTGGGGGAAGAAGCTCGTAGAAGTGGGGGGGGGGAGATAGGTTGGAAGCAGTATGCGAAAAATAACACAGGGAAAGCGAGGCAAGTTAACCATCTGGACCGCTTAGCTGACAGCTTGACATGTTTCGAGCACGACATACACGGAGAAAATTCACCAAGCATGGTCCCCCCCACCCCTTCCCTCCTGAGATATGCGACACATTACACAGGAAGCGTAATTAGAGGTCTAGTGGGGCCCACACTGAGCGCCACGGTGAGTGGAACGGTCGAACAGAGATCAATGTTCTGCTCTCTAAATTAATGAGGCTAATGTTGATTTGTCAGCCTTGTCGCGCGGCTCTGTGGGGAATACCACACACTCCAACAGGCGTGAACGCAGACTTGGGAGCATGGTGGTAGGAGCTTATTAAAAGAAAAAGCACACGTTCACACTGGGAAATGACCCACAGTCGGAAATATCACATTGATCTGGAACACAAAAAAAAGTGATTGATGAATATTTTAATTTGACCAATTCATATTGCTCACCAATAAAGTTATTTTCATTATAAAACATACTGTTGAAAGTGAACAAAGAATACAGCTGCTTACTAAATATCAACAAATTCAAGGGGGGGAGAGCAGAAATGTACAATAGAAAATTACCATTTCCTGTGTAGAAAGAAGGTCGAAACAAACAATGCACAACTCGGATGCATCTGAAATATAAAGAAGAACTCAGAACGGGTGAAACACAAGCACACTTGGGAAACGCGCACAGCAACAACAGCAGTCTCTTCAAGGGGGGAGAGACAGGCGGACTATTTTTAAGGGGAGTGTAGCATGTTTTTCCAACATGAGTCGTTGAATGAAAGCAGTGCTCAAAGTCATCTTACAGACAGGATCTTCCCGACAAAGACTGTCCTTGCATCACTGTTTGTTCACAAAGACGTACACATTACACACATGGAAGAAGAAGAAAAAAGCCAATTCGGTAGGAGAGCACTGCTGGATATGAGGGGGAATTGAGGCTTTGTTATATATTTTTGTGGATTTCCTTTTACTAGAGCAAATCCAGGATCTGTAACAATCCAAGTTTGGGAGAGCCAAAGGCCTGAAAAAGCTCAATTTGGCTCTTTGGTATTTGGTGTTGAAAATGGCAGGAACACATATTAATAAAGTACAACATTAACAACATTATAATCTCAGAAAATTACATTTTAACCCTTTAGAAGGAGCTTTTTCTTTTTTTTTCCCTTTTTTGCTTCTGGTTGCGCTCTCAAACTTCAAATTACAAAGTTGACATCCGAGGTTTGGTTGCAACTAGAAGCAACTTAGAGAAAAAGAAGATGATGAAAAAAAAACACAACCAAACAAAAACAAAAAAATCTTCACAAAGAGTCATTGGCTGGGGGGATAGTTTGTTTTCCACTGGCTACTTCTCACAGGCTTCAAACAGTCTTCCAGCTGCTGACTTGATGAAGCAGATTCCTCATTACTGACAGGTGCACAGGATAGCTCAGTGACTCCTTTCATAAATGTTCTGCTCCAGTGAGGCACATTTACACCATCTTACCCCTTTGATTAGTCTTTCTTAAAAAAAAAAAAAAAAAAAGCATTAAAAGATGAGAACATGATGCCTTGTATTAATCAAATGTGGAAACCCACTTTAAATTAAACACAGCTGTGTTAGCAGAGCAGTCAAAAACCCCTACCGTCAGTGCTTTTTCATCAATGATTCATTGCTCAGTTTACACTTTTTTTTAAAGCCTCTTGAATTAGTGTAGTCTTTTCCCTGTGTTCGAAACAATGCCAAGTTGTCCTCATGGAGACAATAAGCAATTACAGTCTATACAATGCGCTTCCATTTTGGTTAAAACCATCCATTAGTGCTCATGAGTCTTCTCCCAAAGCCTCGGCTGTTTACTGCATTTCCACAACCGTGTGTGTCAGAGTCTGTGTGCTGATGAAACGGGAAGGAACGCAGCAAAGCTGATGACCAAAGACCACAGGCCAAAAACAAGACTTTTATAAAATCTTAAGAAAAATGAAAAGACAGTATTATCTCCTCTTTGTCTCGGCAAGTGGTTCCCCTTGTTAGCAACGTTTGAAATGCATCCTTGAATGTGAATTATGATGGCTGGATCCGTTTTTCTCCTGCGTCTCTGTTTCAGCGTTGGTTTGTTGGACCCCAATCCGAAAGCAGTTCCCTTTTTGGGGGGTTAATGGATGGTAGGCATATCTCCCAGCCAGGCACCAGGTAGGGGGCGTGGACACGTGTACTCATTCTGCTGGAAAGAAGAAGAAAAAAAAGAGAGAGAGAGAGAAAAGACGATAAAGTTAGAAGCATTTAACAGCTGCTGGTCTGTGCCACTTACAGAGGTGGTGGTTACAATGTAAAGTTAATTACAGTGCCCAGTGATTTGATAACGGTACAATGGGGCTGTGACAGTGCCAGCAAAGCAAATTAGGGTAGGCAATTAAGCAGATGATGAAATCCCACGTACTTAGATGGCTTAGGAAGTCGAGGTGGATTGACTTCCCTAATGTCTCACTGAGATTAAACTAAAGCCAAAGACAGAGGGCTCTTACAAGCCTTCATATTGAACATTTCAATTTAAGCTGAATTACTACAAATTATATTCACTAGAACCTTTACATTTTGAGACACTTGGTCCCTTATTATGGCCACATTATTTGTTCAAATAGATATTCCAGTTACTCTTCAGTCGAGTATTGATTGGCGGCTGAACAATGGCCTGAGCACTAACAGCTTTTTCTTTATTTACACAGTAGCCATATTGACACACTGCAGGTTGGATAAGTGGCCAAATTACCTGTCATGTTTTAATTAAGCACTCTGAAAGGTTGCAAAGGGTGTAAACAACAATTTCCATTAGAATACAGTACCTGGTCATCTGCATAAATGTTCACTTCATTCAAATTGTAATGCAGACTTTTACCTGGCTACTAAGTTTAAATACATTTGGTAGAAATAAACAGGCTCAGTTCTTTCACATTGAATTTTTCTTTTCTGTAGAAAGAGGAAATTAGAAATCATGGCGAGTGAATGAAGGACCTTTAAATGTCAGTGTTTTCCCACAGGGTCAACCAGAGCTTGTTGAGATGTTGTTGCAAATTAGTAAGAGATTTTGACATTTTACTCTCATTTAAGAGGCACAAGCTTTGCATTGATCTTCGCTCGAAAAGAGGCCGAGGCACACTCAACACACATATCCGAGTTCGCCCCTGAGCATTGGCTCTCTGAAATCCTGTGCTTTATGACTTAACCTTTTAGGACAGCTTATTTGCAGCTTGGCTACAGGTAATTCCACATCGCCTTAATAATACAAATGCCGAGAGTTTTGCCAGGCTAAGCAATTTCCTGACGCTTTCAGGATCTGCTCAAATTTATCCCAGCTCAACTTTCTGCTGCTCAAGCTAAGATTGTTGTCAGTGTGAGGAAGATCTCTGTAACACAGGGCTCAGACGCATATGCCCAGAGCGGGAACTTTTATATAAATGTTATCAAACAGGCTGATAAGACTTCACTCAACTCCTTATCTACCTCTCAGGTGGATGTGAGTGATGTGAAGACAGCTGCACAAATTGTTATGCCTTAGACAATTTCAACAGAGCACAAAAACAGAAACAGCTCACATAAAAAAAAGCTCAGGCTGTGCTGTGCACACATGCACGTCAATGTGAACTCTGACGCAAACACTCAGGCATACAGCGCTCTTAACATGCAGGCACACAATCTAAGACACAAGCACATCATCCTTTGGGAGAGGTGCATAAAGATGGGATGGATTAAACAATTTTATAGATTTACCCACTTGAGTTTTGTCATCACGCGGAATGATCAATGGTATTGACATGTTTTGCCCAACCGGGACTGGTAATGGAGCATGCTTTGTTGAAGTATGGAAAATTGAAGAAGTTAATTACAAATGATGTTGTACATAAGACTGAAACACTGTTGAGCCCGGTAGAATTTAAGAATGTTACTGCAGAGAAGATTCAGCTAACTGAACATTATTGGACTAAATCCAAAACCAACATCTGTTTCTGCCTGCGTTTTTTAAAATCAAAACTTCATCTTAAATTTGATATTAAATTAGTTAGCATTTGGAGGTTTTCACATGTAGTTTGAGTAAGTGGACTTTTACCATACTTGTTACATTCACAACTTCACTCACAAATTCATACATTGATGGCTGCTATAGCCGTGTGTCATTCCCCACCCTCTCTCTCCCTCATATTTCAGGTTCTATTAACTGTTCTGTCTCAATAGTGCAGGCTAAAGAAGCACAAAATGTATGATTAATTAATGCAACTGATTTACACAATAGTTGAGAAGTTTATTTTAGGGGAAATCAGTGGGCCTTTTTTCGTGTACCGGAAGTGGCATCTTAACTTGTTCAGCTTCATACTGTCCGAAACTAATATTGTTATGCAGATCTCACACTTTGTTCCTTCTTCATTTTCTTTAGTTGTACAGTGAAAGCCAAGGGTGCAACATGACTCCTCATATTTTTTTAGAAGCTAGTGATGTTTAGTGAACATTCATCATCAGCCCAACTGGCAAACCTTAAAAAGGATTAAAAAACTGCAGATATTATTTAGATCTGGTCATAACTCTTGGATCGACCTAGGGTATGGGCTCCCAAATTTGGGAATCACTACACTAATCGATATGCATATGGTAGCTGGGGTTCAGTGTTTTGTCCATGGACACTTCAACATGTGGACTGCAGGTGCCGGGGATCTAACCGCAAGTTTACCCATTATAAAGAGAACTGCTAAACCTCTGAACCACAGCACCTCTCAGCAAAATACTTATACAAAAAAAACCCACAAACAATTGGAAAAATCCACAAACCACTAAAACTGTTGTAAATACCTATTTCATTGGAAGAAAAAAATGTCAGTTGAATAACTGTAATAACTCCACACTATCAAAAATATTTTACAACTATGATTAAACACATTACTCTTTGTTTGCCTTCTGAGTCAACATCCTGAGTCCAACCCACAACAAACACATCCTTCAGTGGACATTGCAAGGCTTTGAATTGAAAAAAATTTCCAAAGCATCTTCTCACACATGTTTTCTTTTTTGAGAGTGTCCTTGCCAACGTGCAAAGTTATTTATTGAAAACTTGCTAAACCCTGTCTGTTCAGTGACTTTCATTGCACTGCTCTTTGAAAACCGTGTCAGTCTGCATGGTCTCGTTCAGCATTTGATCTCTTGCAAGTCATCAGACATTAAGCGTACTACAAATTGTTTTTTTAATCAGCCATTGGCTCAAAATGTTTATTTGTACTTAGTGCTTTGTAGAACTTGATTTGATGCTGTGTGCAGTCAAAGGCATTGACATGTCAGCAATTTGAAATTGCAGTCACACCTCCTACATCTGAATTCAAGTGGTGTTCACACATCTTGTTGTGTGACGGCAGGGGTGCAGTGCTTATAAGATGGGAGTCACTGAGCCAGCTGTTGTAGGGCTCATTATGCTTTATTTGTTTGTAAAAGCCCACAATTTTCACGAACAAAACCATCACAAGTCATTTTACCTAATTGTTTTGTTTCTTTTGTTCGCTTTTGTTGCTGTCATAATGATTTGACTGGGTTATTTCTGTATGGCTCAATTGTTTGCTTCATGCAGAAAGACATCTGAGCTGTTATATGCAAAAACTCATAAGGGTCCTTGAGAATCATTTCATTCAAGTTAGGGTCCAATTAGATTTAAATTCTCTCTGCCACTCATACCTCTTTAAGTACTGGCATTGTAAACAGCCATTAGATGTTTGATGGCTTTCAGGCTTAAGTTGAAGACTAGCTTTCCACATCACTTTGAATTAAAGGGCATGATGATCCTAGATTTTACCAATTCTCATCACTTCCGCTGCTGGCAGTCAGCACTTAATTCCTGCTTCATTGACATTGACAAGGAAGATTTGCGGCTGTACTGACATTAGAAGGTTTAGTCATCTGTCGCCAGAGGCATGTGCTCCACTTCTACACCCTCTCAAAAATCTTAATTAATGGGCAGAAACGACTAACAAACTTAGGACTCCTGGATAGGTCTTATAGTCCTCAAGAACAACAGTCTTTATGGACCTGAATAAAGCAGTTGTCCTCCTTCACCTTCTCGTGGCAGAAGTCTGCTACTTCCATGATAATACAATCAAAGTGTGTGGAGATCAACTCTGAGGCTAGGACAAAGATACTTTCTTAGTTTTAGACAAAGTGGGAGTTAGGAGTTACTGGCAAGGGCCCAGGATAAACTTGGCAATTGTTTTGGTCAGGGGTCCTTCCTTCCCACAAATGTAGGATATTAGTGTGTTGAACAAAGGTTGCCCTTGGTTAAAACCATTCAAGATGTCAGAGAACTTCTGTCAGTGGGCCACAAGGAATCTCTTCTAGCTCAGCACCGATATCATTCAGCCCTCACAAACCAAGTTCCCTGTAGACAGGGCTAATGTAATGTTCAGAGACAAGTCAATTGCCAGCCTACAAATAAGAATATGATTTTAATATTTTTGGAAAGATTGAGAGATTTTGTTTGCATCGTGGTCTTTTGTGGATCTCCTTCCATCCTATATCAATCAACACATGAGAACCCCTCAAGGGGTTTCTTCCCCCGGCATGAGCTTCTTGTTTGGAGAAGACGTAAAAGCCGGTGGTGATCCTGGTGGTTTCAGACTTGACATTTTCCTCTTTGATATGCAAAGTTGACTTGGCGTATGTAGCAGTCACTCTATTCATTCCCCTAACATACTGTCATGGGACATGACATAAAATGCTGTTGTTCTACTGTTTGACATACATAGCCTCCAAGTGTGGACATGAACTTCTGGCTTGGGAGGAACTTGCTTGTGTCTGGTGTCTGCCCTTGGAAGTAGAGGACACACTGAAAACTTGAATGATTCAAGATGCTTAATTATTGCTACAGACTCTATAGATTTAAATGGTTGTTTGAATTGATGTCTATGAAATGCTTCTCTTTTGGACTAGTGTTTGCAATGAGAGTTCTTGAAATCTGAAAATGTTATATGTGATTCCAACAGTATTTAATTTGGTAAAGTGCTCGAAAGGGAAACCTCTCCTTGGACTACCACAACCTGACCACAAAGGTTCACCAGTCGGTGGCAGCAGAATAACCCATTAGAAAACTTTGTGAAAACACTAATGTAATAAAAACTGAAACAGTTTTTGAAGCCCTACAATGGCTGTCGCCATATTGGGAGTGAAGTGTCAACCTAGAAACCCAAAGCCCTAAAC